TGCGTGTGTGTGTTCGCTGTTCTTTGTTTATGCGGGAAATTCATAAGTCGCTTAAACATCCTGGCCCCCCTAGACGACTTGTCGTTGAGTGGATGTAAAATAAGCCGCGAGTATCCGGCTCGAAGGACCAATGATAACCATCAGTTACCACCTCTGCATGGTTGTAAGTCATGCAGAGTCCCTACGGCTTGTAGCGCTGTAGCTTTGCCGCTTAAACTCTATACGAGTTTTTGGGGAAGTGCGTCAAGCGGGACTGTTGAGCACCGGTTATTTATTTAAGTTAGAAAATTGGGTAGGCGTCGTGGCCAATGGGAGCTCTTGTACCACCTCTGTATGCTGAAATTCTCACAGAGCCCCAAAAGCTTGTAGCGCTTTGGCTTTTGCTGTTTAAAACCACTCCGGAGGAGTGGTGATGCATCAAGCGAGATTGTTGAGCATGATTTTGGGTGCCAGCAATTAACTACTTTAGTAGGTTTTGTTCTGCGGCAGTTGAGAAGTGCATAAAAAAATGCATACCCAATGAAGAACGAGCAAATTATTTTTAAACACAAGTGCGTGTGTTTATGCGCTGCTACTGAAAGAAGTCTGATGAGGAAATGTGGTGATTTCCGAAATAGCTATCACTTCTACCATTTTTTCAAATTATTGTTGCTTTTCCACAATAAGTTTTCACTAAAACGGCCTGGACCTCAATAAAAATTGTTGAATATAATTGTTATAAGGCCATAAAATAACAAACACAAATAATTTAAGGACGAGCACACCTAAAAGTTAAACATTCTAATAATAGAAATATTAACAAAAACCAACAAAACCAACAACCACATGATCAAGTGAATTGCAGCGGAATAGCTGCGCTTGATTGTGGTTGGCTTAGCAAAGTGAAATAGTGGAAAATAAGCAACAAGAATTAACAAGACAAACTTAGCACAGTGCGTAGGCAACTGGCTGAGTCAGTGGTGATCGTCGGTTCGAATCCTACTGAAAGAAGTCTGATGAGGAAATGTGGTGATTTCCGAAATAGCTATCACTTCTACCATTTTTTCAAATCTGTTGCTTTTCCACTATAAGTTTTCATTAAAAAACGGTCTCGAGCTCAATAAAAATTTTTGAATATAATTGTTATAAGGCCATAAAATAACAAAAACAAAAAACTTAAGGACGAGCACACCTAAAAGTTAAACATTCTAATAATAGAAATATTAACAAAAACCAACAAAACCAACAACCACATGATCAAGTGAATTGCAGCGGAATAGCTGCGCTTGATTGTAACTGGCTTAGCAAGTGAAAATAGTGGAAATAAGCAACAAGAATTAATAAGACGAACTTAGCACCGTGCGTAGGCAACTGGCTGAGTCAGTGCGATCGTCAGTTCGAATCCTACTGAAAGAAGTCTGATGAGGAAATGTGGTGATTTCCGAAATAGCTATCACTTCTACCATTTTTTCAAGTTATTGTTGCTTTTCCACAATAAGTTTTCATTAAAAAACGGCCTCGAGCTCAATAAAAATTGTTTAATAGAATATCAAAATGTTTAATTACCCCTAGAAAGTACCAAAGAGAAAGTATAAATTCCTTCCCGCTTTCACAGAAGAGTTGTCATTTGTTTATATTTTTTGACGTTATAGTACCTTAAAAGAGAGCCTCACTGAGTTGTCCATCACATCTTGTTTAATACACCTTGGCAATACCTAGTCATAACTCTTAATGTAGAGGAGTTTTTTCTCTTTTTCATCTCAATGGACTAAGGAAAGAAATTCGCTCAATTTAAGTATATACGTTAAAAATGACGTGTAAAGGGTTTTACAATTATATTAAGGAAAAGTCTGCAGTTGAAACAAATTCACAGCAACGAAAAATATTACTGATTTTTTAATGTTATCTTGTACTTAATTTTTTTTCATGAAACCTAGTTTACTTAGAAGTACAGTGCCGTGCAAAATTATTAGCTCAGAGAATTTTCCATCAGATCTTTTAGAAAAGTTTTGAAAATTTTGCTTTTTAGTCAAATCGCGTTGATTTTTAGCAATTTTGTTTTTGCTGGCAGTGTCTTCCCTACGAAACGAATTGTTGAACATAGTTTGTATGGAACAAAACTTCATGGGTTTTATGTTAGATTTACCACCGTGTCCCGGCTGGGAACGGAGATATCTGGCAGCCAAAGTAACGCCCTTTATGCAGGCAAAATAATGCTGGGTGTCCCTTGCGGTCTGCCACCCTATGATGCATTGGTTCTACACAGCAAAATTCAGACCAGTACTGCTCCACGGTGGTTTGGTATGGTGGAATGCCGCAAAAAAGTCATCATATAATTGGGAAGGTTCAGCGCCTCGCGACACTGTGCATCACGGGAACGCTGAGGTCCACTCCAACAGTTGCTCTTGAAATAGTCCTCAATTTACCCGTAGGTAGATTGGCGGCCATAGGGGAATTCAATTTCAGAACCTTTGGACACAGCTCGATTGGGGCGGGAAGCACCGGCAGCACGGGCTACATGGCACATAGCTTTAATTGGGAACGAAGATCAAGAAATGGATAAATATTTACCCATTATACCCAGACAGGAAGATCCTTTAATTTGGTGAAGCATAGTCGCAAATAATTTTTAATTTTTTTTACACTGGCAATGAAGTATCTCTGCGAACCACCTTCCTCACTGAATTAAAAAAGAGTGTTTAGTGCATCGGGTACCATGTATGTTGAAAATAGAAATGAGTCGGTAACCGGTAATGCGGAAATGCTTCTTTTCATAATGATAAATATATAAATTTTTAAGTCTAATTACTAATTGGATACTAGTAAATTTGATTATACAAATACAAAAAAAAAAAAATAAAAATCTGAACTAGATTTCTAAATTGAATCTTCTATAATGGAAATCCGGAAATCCGGCCGGATATCTACCGGACACCCGGCACATCCCTAATTTTTATAAATTAAAGAAGCAACTTTAAAAGAACTCCTCCAAAAGGCCGTCTGAAGTACGTCCTATAAAAGCCCTTCTAAAGGGCATTCTATGGGGAGCGAAAGAAGAAGCCCTTAAATTTGTGCCATTGCATACAAAAAAGAAAGGAGAAAGGAATGTAGAATTGAAGTCCTCTTGACTCTCAGGCAGACTTTTCGGAAGGGTTTTTAACTCCTGAAATTATCTACTGGGTTTGGTTAGGTTACTTAAAATGGCAATGGAAGATATGCTTTCTGACGACCACAAAACCATAATCAAAGCAGATAAATGCCCCACTGGAAGCCATTAAGTGAATAGTTGGTGAAAGTGTTGTATCGAAATGTTCCAACAAAAAATTAATTTTGGGCGAGACGAAGTTCGCCGGGTGCGCTAGTTATTGTTTATTATAATTAGATATTGATGTGGTGAAATGTGGTGGTGTGGTGGTTGCGGGAAATACAACAAATTGTGAGTATTAAAACAAAAAGTCAGCATTTAGAGAAATGAGAGAGCATACTTTTTTGGTTTTAGCTTTGCTAGATTATTCGTATTTGCTGGAGTTAGATAACGCGGCTTGGTACATTTGGCACACAGCGAACATACATAAAAACAACTTTTTTTATACCCGAGCGCACATGTGGCAATGGGCGTGACCCCGCCCACTTATGATGAAATGCTGTACCATACTCGGTCCGAGCCTTTTTTGGGGTCCAACTAAGAAATCTGTTGAAAATCTTTTAAATCGGGCAATAACCACGCCCACCTCCCATATAACGGTAATTTGCAGAAACACGAAAATTGCGAAAAATCAGTAATTACTGAAGCTGTTTCACTCAAACTCGACGATTGCAATAATCACCTAGCAGGAAATTTTATTATTATAAATTTTTGGATAAAGAGCTTGGCCCCGCCCACTTATGACCACAAATGTGGTAAACGGTAAACGATTCATAAAATCCAACCAAAATTGGTGCACCTTATAACCTTGGTACGGAAAAGCAATTTGTTGAAAATTATTCAAATCGGACTAAAATTACACCCCTTCCCGTATAACGGTAAATTTCAAAAATACGAAAACTCTAGGTCTATCTCGGTAACCCCTTTATCGATTTCTACCAAACTTGGTTCAATGATTTCATTAAGTCAGCATATTATCAAAAACGTTTGAAATCGGGAAAGCATCCCTGCTTATCGTGTAAAGGTAGTTGAGAGAAAGTTGAAACAACGATATTTGATACCTGCGCCGGGTATATAAAATTCGATTTCGCCCGAACTTATACTTTTTTAGTTGTTTTAAGTATCACTTTTGTTTCACAAATTTATGTTATATTAGAAAATAACTAACTAACAGAACGTAAGCAATCATTTCAAGGTTTAACTGCAAAGAAGAAATATTTAAACCGATTTATTCGTTTCTGATTTATAGCAGTTGTAAAAACGATTTCATGATTTTTTACCACATTTGGGCATATTGACACGCCCTTTTTATAGATTCCTTCAAATAATGTTGATATTACCCTTTCCAGATAGCTAAGCTTTAAAATGCAAAAAACCATTTTCCAATCGGAGCAGTCTGTGCGAAGTTATTACATAACATACATATTTTGGGACTTTATTTTATAATATGTAAGATGTAAGATGTAGATATAGATGTAATGAATAAGTGAAAGAAATATCAGAATATTGCAGAACCCTGCAAATGGGAATTGCCGGGTTAAAACTGAATTGCATGTTAAGTTATGATAATAATAATTATTATGCTCAACTTATTTTATATGTTCTTTAATAATATTTACCCGCACATACCATTCAAAGGAAAAAACGAATCGAAAAAAATAAAAACTAAATATATATTTTTTTGTTTGGTAAAACTCGATTTTTTCAAAAACTGTCCACAGGATTATTTTCTTTTTGGTATTAAATTGTTGAAAAAATATAAGCAAACAAATAAAAAAGGATATAGGATGTGCTATGACTTCGTATTTAAGGTTGGTTCACGCACACCGTGTCACATAAACAAGAAAATGAATTTTAATTTATAACAAAGACTTACAGTAATGTGAAAGTAGCCAGGTTTTCGGATCCAAATATGAACGAAAATCGTAGATGTGTTTTATAAATGATGTATCGTTGGCAGACAGTATATTTTGCACCTGCTTTATGAGTTGATATTCTGGTATCTCTTGGAATTTCGGAGTTTCATTAAAGGCATACCATGATACTGGTAGCTTCTGTTCAAAATCAATTACGCCTTTTTCAGGGTCGAATACGAACTTAGTTTTTGCTTCACGATATATGCTCGCTATTTCCAAAGCATTCAGTGCATAGTTTCGCATTTTGTTACGAATCAGAGCATAAATCTGTTGCAAATGCTTCCTAAATTTCAATTCCTTGGCCATCCATTCCATTTCGGAAACTACGTGATTAAATTTCTTGATGAGAACCTTAAGTTGCTTTATCTTTCCCAGCTCTTTAATTTCATGCCAAATTTCGTGTATAACTTCATTCAGTTCGGAGCCGAACGGGATAACTTTGTAATATTTTTCCTTTAAAAAACTCCAAGCAACAGACGCATACTTTTTAGTATTTAAAATGAAATCATGCGATTTTATGTCTTTATATAAATTTTCTATATCTTGTGTAAAACTAGAAATTTGGTTAAAATAAGTTGACTCAGCCAATTCATTCGTTCGTTCATAGATAAAGTTGAACACCTTTTTGCTCAAGTCCCATATGGTTTTTTCAATAAAACTCATAGATTCGAACACGTGAGGTTCGATACGTTTAAGAACTCCTTTGAAATAGGTGGAAATTGCGTTAGAGAATTTACTCCAAAAAATTTCTATATGATGAATAAAAGATATGTGTAACTCTTTTACAAATTTTTCGTACTTTTTGAAACCTTTCTCCATAACATCGGTTAAATATTTCAGAGACTGTCCATGAAAGAAGTTATTGATGCCTTGTACAATTTTATTATAAGTCCTCTTTATCATCTCAATCATCTGAACTATGCTCCTGCTCAATACTTTTACGGATTCTCCTAAAAATTGCCCAATCTCTTTAAATATTATCGGTAATGAATCCACTTGGTCTCGTAGAGCTATTTCATCCAGCATAGTGTATGTAAAGTTAACGAACGTTTTGATATAAAAGTCATTCGCTTCGTATGATTTATTCATAAAAGTACGGAAGTCTTCCAAGTCTTCCTTTAAAACACTTAGCTGGCTTATATCATTGATGAAGTCTTTATTATATTCTTTTGCTGTTTCCCAAACAACAGTAATTGCGGAAAAAGTTTCAATATGTAGCGTTGTTGTCCAAAAATCAATTTGTTCAGTAAATGCATTCAAAAGAGCTTCCTTAGTGCTGATGATTTTCTCTTTTAATTCACTTTTTATTTTTGGTCGCCAATGTAAACCTCCACTTAAATGACGAGAGTGATTTAATTTGATATATGAGCTAACATCAACCACACTTATCTCATCATAGTTACGCCAGACCTTTATATAGTTCTTTCGTGAATCGGGAATACATCCAAACATTAAAAGGTTGTGACTACCGTCTTCTGTTAAATTAAAGTACATATGGGCTTCTTTTTGAAGCATATCAATGTAAATATAACCAGAATTGTTGACAGCGGGTGTGTTCCACAGCGTGGCATTCACTCCGTATACCGGATAGTTAAAATTCGGCTGCATCCATATACGCAATGTACCGTAAGGTGATTTACGCTGAAATAATATTTGTGAAATGTTATTTTCATACTGAAACATGTACTATATGTATGAACATAGGTATGTGTTATTTTCTTAATATTTTCTCTTAACCTACTGCGCAATAAACAGGTGAAGTAACAGCTTTTTCTGGCATTCGACTGCCTAATGGCTCATTCCACGGTAATCGATACCGAAGGAAACGAAAATAAACTTAAGAATTTGGGTGTATTACTTCTAATAAATAAGAGTAAATAAATCAAACTTTCAAAACTGAAAGCGAAAATTTCGAAATTTATCGCGAAATCAGATATATATTTTACCTTAGGTTGTACCATTTACAAACTCATATGATAGGTTTATTTTCTTCAAAATTGAAAAGACTGATTTTCTTAGACCATTTTCTATTTTGCATTGTTTAAACGGTCAATGCAGAGAACAATTTGTCAGCATTGTAAAGGCTGGTTTTCATTAGGTCAAAATCACTGACAGCAAAAACTGCCTTTATCTGCCAGCTGTTCATTTGGTGTCAAATGCGTTTTCATAACATTTTAAAAACTGACCAAATGTCGATACCGCAGTGCATGTAAAAGACTGTCGTCAAATTTCCGTGTCAGATGATTGACATTCCGTTTTCATTACTGATGTCAAATGTGAAGTTAAATTTTTACAAAAAGTGTAGACTACCGACCTTTTAGCTCTAGACAAACCAAAAATGTAACTGGATAAAACTCTTCATGCTGATTTCAACCTTCCAAAATTATTTAGCCCAAGTAAAAAAATAAGAAGATGTAGGAGGTTAAGTTAAATTTTTCGATATATTGAAATATCAATAGTCCTGTTCGCTATGCAAATGCCTGTAACAAAATTCAGAGAATAAGGTGTCTTTCTCTCCCAAAGAGAGAAACTTACTTTGCAAGCTTCACTGCCAGCTGGCGTCCACGGCTGCATTTCGAACATAATAAACTTTTTAAGTTATTTCAGGTGGAAAACAAAATAGGACATATACGTATATTTCTTCTTATTCGGACTTTCTTCAACATACGCTTCATTTTCTTTGTGGAAGTCACTGTCGGATTTCCTATATCGACAGTGGTGTCGACTGCGTTCCGATTAGGAATACAGTTTTTTCAGCCGAGTACCTTTCAAATGTTTGAAATTAATTGAATAAACAAATATTTACATACTTCTTTCATTAGTAAACCGCAACAAGATTGTTCACTTTTAAATTTAACGAACTTGTTGATTCAAATCAATGTTGACAAAAATGCAACCGTGTGCCACAATCCTGCTTGCAAATTCTTGCTTGCTCCAAATGAAATGCCAAAATTGTGCACTCTCCTTGCAAGTTAAACTGGTTTTTTGGCCAAACGAACACGATTTGGTAACAATTGGTACCAAGTTGTACAAGTTTTTATGCATAGCGAACACTCTTAATATCCCATGAACTACATAACCGATTAAACTAATGATGTCAAAATGAAAATGATTAGTTTATCTTTCAGTTGATGTACATAATTTTTCTGATTTTTTATATTTTTAAGTCCAAAGTACTAGAAAACAAAAAATTTAATTGTCTCATAAAATTACATTTTTTGAAGAAAATTTTATAATTAATGCGACAGAACTTTATATTACCTAGAAATTAGAAGTTATTACTTTATATAGAAAGGTCTTTTATAACGCACAGTTTAACGAAAGTAGTGGTAAAAATCGAAATTTTATATATATTTTTTTAAATGTCGTTTACCTAAAATTTCTTTAAAAATGGTTATAGTAAATACGTCGTAAAAAGGGTATTAAAATTATCTTTGAATAGGTATCAATACTTTTCTAATCGGTCAAGTAGTTTCCGAGATATTAAACATATAAAATACAGGAAAGTTGAAGTTCAACATGTTATATTTTCTTTGCTTTTTACTTGCCCCAAATAATTTCAAGGCAAGGTTGAAATCAGCGTGAAAATTTCTATCGATATGCATTTTTGGTTTTTTTCATTATTTTGACAACATTTGACGCCAAACAAGTACTTAATATTTTATTATATATTGAAGCAAAACATATTTTAATGTCACGCCCGTCACAAAATGCAAATAATATTTATTTTTTGAAGGAAAACACATCTTGCACAATGTAGAAAAGCTGACGAAAGTAACGCTATGACACAGGCGAATGTGTTCGAATTGCTTTTAAGTATTAATATGCTTTTCTTTTAGAAAACAAAACCGATTATGTTGGTCACGCCCGTCACATGTCACACCCGTAACAATTTAAAATTTAACGAATTTTAATGAGTTCGGTCATGGACTGCTACTGTTACTTATCTGCTAACATGAAATGTATCATATATCTGTTTGTGATCACCGATGATAAAGCTAATCATAAATATATGTTGCTCGAGCAATAAGAAAACTAAGCTATGCTGTCACGGATACAAAAACCTTTACTTCACTAGTCCGGGTAAAAACAGTTTCTCATACGGTTTGACAGGTAACAGCTTCATGAAAAGTATAGTACTACTTAAAAATAAGGTACTTTACAATGACTCAGACAGAGAGTGAAGACGAAGAGTCCGATCAAGGATTATACCCCCCTTAGGTAACAGAATCTTTTATGTGTTTGTAAAATCCGATTTTTTGACAAATAAAGTCACTTTATGTACTTTTGTCCGATCAGTTCAAATTTGTTTAATTTTATGTTTATGGCTAGTCTGATATTTAAGCATTGGTGCAAATAAAATTACATTGTTCCACTTTTTACTCGACGTTTCGCTAAAACCTTTCTAGCATCTTCAGGGGTATTGTTTATTTTCTCTGTTAAGACAAATATAAAAGAACAAAAAAAACAACACACACATTAAGTATTAATCGAAAAACAATTGAACATGTGTACATATACAACAACAAATTTAATTAAATGACAAACCAATTTACATTTTTTAGATATTCAAACATTGATATACATAAATACTTAAAAACTTAATCACTAAAGAAATATCCATACCACCTGATGTGGTAGTTTTGTCCGTACTGAAAGATTTATTTTTATAAACAAGTAATGTATGCGGCCGCAATGTTGTCTGTGTCTTCCTTCTTATTAAATGTCATATCTCGTTTTTGCATGATTCTAAGGCTCTCTATTGTGTACCGGGTTGGCTCTCGTTTTTCTTTACCAATAATAGTTGTGTTTAATGATACCGAAAAAAGTTCAGAGCAGCTCAAGTTAGAGCAGAATCGAGCAGATGTCAAAAAAACAATAGATCAAGTTAGAGCAACTCAGATTACAAATCTCATGAAACACTTTTCAGGCAGAAATTTTCAAAACGGTTGCTTGCTCTAAGTTACTCCATCAAAAAAGTTGGTTCAGAAAATCGTGCTCTAAGTTGCTCTAGTTCCACTTAGCGCAGGCTCATGAAACAAAAACTAGAGTAAGTTAGATCAAGCAAAATCCTCATGAAACACAATTTTGTGAGATATCTTAACCTGGCGTAACCTAGAGCAGCTCATTAAACACAACTAATATTTGTATTTGCGAAGTCAGCTGTGTGTCCACTTTCTAAAATGTGCTGTGATAACGCTGTACTGCTTTTCTGTTTTCTTATGTCCGCTTCATGTTCGCCTAGTCGAACACCTAAAGGCCGCTTCGTTGTTCCGATATACACTTTTCCGCATATTTCAGTTTTTTTTTCTTTGCATTTAATTTCGTAGACTACGTTGTTTTGCTGGTGGACATCGACTGGACATTTTGTTTTTGTATATATTGCCGAAAGGGTGTAATTAGATTTAAATGCAAGTGTTGTGTTTTGTGTTGTTGTTATGTTGTGATCAAAGTTATCAGTAAGATTGAGAATGTATGTAACACTGTAGAATTTCTTTGCGCTTTTTGTCGTTTCCGTACTAAAATACATCTTAAATGAGTTAGAAATTAATAATTTTATAAGAAAACAAAGCTGCCTCTGTCAAGGGATCGCAGAAAAGAAAAGAAAGGCTCTCAATTCCAAAGTAAACAAATTCAAAAACCTTCAAATGCGAAGATTGGGAATAAAAACTAACAATAACTGGTTCGAAAACAATACGTCCATAGAATTTCCGGAAGAGGTAAAATGGATACTCTCACTGGGAAGAAAATTTGCTTTGCCAACTACAAAATCAAACTTTTCGCCGATACATATAATAGCAGATATGGAGCAACTAATAAAGTCACTGGAGAACGACAAGGAAAAGGAAATAGCAAGAAATAAAGTGAACAATAGAATCTTAATGTTTAAGCGCAACACAAAACACGACGAAGCGGAGAAGTTTATTTTATCAGCAGTTTTTAAAGCAAAGGCATTTATCCAGAAGCACAAAAGAAATATTGTTATAGCTGATGCCGACAAAGGCAACAAAACTTTAGTCATATACAAAGCAGAGTACCTAGAAAAGATAAACAAACTAATAGAAGACAGATATACATATAAATCAATAAGAACTGATCCTACAAATACCCTTCAAAGAAAAAACAACAAAATAGTGGACGAACTTTACAAAGGCAAACACATAAACTTCAGGGAAAAACAACAACTCACCTGCACTGCAGCCACGGCGCCCAGAATTTATGGCTTGCCAAAAATACATAAGTTGAGTTGCCTGAGACTGAATGCCGGTTTAATTCCAGCACTGAGCCCGCACTCGTACATTGTCGAATCTTCACTGATGGCTCCAAAAGTGTCTCTGGGTTATTATCTGGGCTCTTTTCCGATGTTAATGGGGGACTTTTCTGTTGGGGAATATGCTCCGGTATTCCAGGCTGAGGTAATTGCAATACTCAAAGCCATGGACTACGTGGTGAATATAGGTGGAGGGGAAGGAGTTTGCGTGACTGCAGTGAAAACCAAGCTGCACTTAAGGAATTGTCCAGCCCTCTATTTAAGTACTTTCAAACTAGTTCGGCAATGCAAGTCTGGACTAAAATATGATGGTGAACATAACGAGGTCGTTCGGCCAGAGTTGGCTCAGACCAGGCTTTTTCGGTCCGCA